AATCGTCCAGGCAGGATTATCATCAATAACACATAATATACCGGTTATCCTTTAGTAAGTAATGCATCGTCCGGGCAGGATATCAACAATAACACATAATGCGCCGGTTATCCTTTAGTACGGAGTGTGGTATACAGAAAGAATATGAACAGTAAGTAACCAATCATATATCGGTTAACTTAAAGCAACGTGTTGACTCCAGCGAGAACGAAGTGTAAAAAAAATATATATATATATAATTTGAGGGCTAAATATGATTCTACTAATGTTAAGCAAACTAGATCTTATCTACGGCACAACAACATCAAAAGTAAGTAACTAAACCTTATTATTATTTTGTTGTTGTTTCTGTGTAATCACGGGTTCTTTATGAATTTTATATCAATCATCTACGTTTGTTAACAGAATTTGTATTCGTTTTTTTTACAACGGGTTTATATTAGCTACCTGCGGCGTCATCTGCCGAGTTAATCTGATGTTATCTTTTTGTTTGTTTTAATTTCCGATATTTTGTCTCATGTATCAAGTGTGGATTAATATTCATAATTGCCTTTCGCTATTTCTCTAACTTAAACTTATTTTGATTCATAAGAAGTGTTCTATATATTTATGTATATCTGCACCGGTGGCTCATTTCGGAAGAAAGAGTAAGAACATGTTTACGGCGTGGAGTGTAAACTTAAATCAAAATTTAAGGTTTTACTGCATGTAGCATCTGTATATAATTTTGTTTTTTGTTAACAGGCTCCTCACAAGCCAGTGGAGGGGCATTTTTGTCGAAAACAAAAACTACCCAATTAAGTTTTTCTTAACTTAAACTGAAATTTTTATTGGCTGAAAAAGAAGGCATTTCCCACACTCTTTTAGCATTGGGGCTGCAAAAAGTGATTTGAAGTGGTAAAATGACTGAAATTCGTCAGCGCATCACGAGCTTAACGGCCAAGCACAAAAAGCATGGAAGTCTCAAAGTGACACGCACAGGTATTGAGGAACCGTTTAAAACCACTTTGACAGATATTGTGCAGCAAGCCGAGTACGCTATTATGCCTGTAGCTAGTTTCAAAATGTTCCTGTCTGCTCATCCTACTGCTGACTATTGTGATGCTTCCACCTTCCCTACCGAGTCGCAGGTGAAATCGTTCGTTCTCAGTTGAAAGCTAAACATAAAAAGATGATAGCAGTTTCTTAATTAATGATACTGATAATGTTTTTTTATTGATATATATCCTGAATTTACTCCCAGCAAGTAGACCTTAGTACTAGCTAGAATGGAGACGTGAGGATCTTGTATTTCACTATAAAATGTATCAATTAACAGACGAAAACTTGTCTCGAAAAGATACGTCGAAAACCTCCCTCTTTGGGAGTTTCTGAATTGAATTTACTTTTAATATTCAATGAACTGTAGTGTAAATACATCCCTTGGCTCCTGAGGGACGTGTTAAATTCCATAGCTTAAAAGTTCGTGATTAAGGACGGTCAATAAGACCAACTACGCAACCATTATAACCTTATTGCATAAAAGGTGACGTTTGATAATAAGGTTTTTTTTTAAAGATTAACATGATTATGAAGACGTTTTAATGACTCAACTTTTGTTAGAATGATGTTTTAACAGGAAATATTTGTTGTTAAGATTTCTGAGAGATCGAAGTTATTATAAGTGATGTGTATTCACTTTGCCAAATAAATCAGCTACAGATTGACGTTTGTTGATAGGATTTATGAAAAAATCGACATTTTAATTAACATTTTTTTAATGTTAGGTGTTTGCCAGTAAGGAAACTTGCGGATGATGTACAAGTCCCGGTATATGTCAGAAAGCTATGTTGTCTGTCAGTGTGAGGTGATAATATGTTTGGTTTACCATTTGGTTCTAATTACGTATGTATACGGTTTTACAGGAAGACAGTCCGTGCTACATTGGTTCTGATCCCCTTGTTTGGTCTCCACTTTACCCTAGTGATCTACAGACCTGCTGGAGGGAGCTGTGGCTGGATCGAGGCATATTTCTACTTCAGTTATGCCATGGACGGTTTGCAGGTAAGAAAGCACGAGTATACACGTATAAAACGTTATTTCTGACGGAAAGTTCCGTCAGGTTTGATTTGATGGAGATGTAGTAAATAAGTCTTGAGTTTCTTAGCTTAAGCAATGCCTATAAATGACACAAAAGAACGAATATTAAGTCACTGGATTAGTTGCGGTGGCTTAGATTTGATTTAATTAAGTTATCTAAATTTGGATAGATTGTATTAAAGTTTAAGATAGCTTCAAGTACACACGATGTTTGGGTAAATTTGCGTACTTTCTTGTAGTTTTAATCAAATACCTGTTTTAATTGACGATGATGTTACGACAGCAGAAGTCACGTGACGCTGATAACACGTCATGAGTTTCTAGAAGGATCATGACTTTTCCTGGCAACTCAAGTCTTTTCTAGGCGCCCTCTATTTTAGTATATAAGCTCGGCAAATTAAGCGGAGAAATAATTGCAGATAGACAGATATGGAGACAGATAATTGAGTCAAGCGAGCGGTAGTGACCGTAAGAAAAGTGCGTGAATCGTTGTGAATTGTAGCGTGTGTTATAGTTAAAGTTACTGTGGAAATTAAGTGTATTACAAAGTTTGTAACGAGAAAGAATAAACTAGTTTTATTTAAAGAAAGGACTAGTATCGCTGAAGTTCCTCGGGAATAATTTATACCGGAAATTAACAAACGACGTAACAATACTTTATTTCACGAAAAGGACAAACAAAACATTTATCAACCGCGTTAGGCGGTTCACCAAATGAAGAGTTCTTAGAAGGCATTGAAAACTTGTAAAACAAAACCTAAGATACACGTGAAATAATAACCTTGAAACTGTTGATTTAAGTGTATTTACGTGCGTTTAAATACTTAGGTTAAGATACGAGCAGGTTGTAAAGCACAAAGCTACAAAGTGGGTTATATGTGCACTTCTCACCGCGGCTTTTGAAGCCCCCTATTTAGCGCCACACCACGGGGGCGGAGGAATAAATAGTTTATTTCAAACCAAATTATTGTGGCCTGGTTATTAGGGCGCTCGACTCCCAACCTGTATGCCACGGGTTCGAATTCTCGTCACCGAACATACTCGTCCTATCAGCCGTGGGGGCATTATAACGTGACTGTCAGTCCCACTATTCGTTGATGGAAGAGTAGCCTAAGAATTTGCGGTGGGTGGTGTTGACTAGCTGCCTTTCTTCTAGCCTATCGCTGCTAAACTAGAGACGGCTAGTGCAGATAGCCCTCGAGGAGCTTTGCGCGAAATTCAAGCCAAATCAACTGAACTATTGAGCAATGGTAGTACGACCGATTAGCCTGAGACGTAGGTGTGTTTGATAAACGTTACACCAAGCCTGATTATTTTAAGCTAAGATCGATTGAATGGAAATTACATTTAAAAATGTTTAACCGAAATACGTTTAAAATAACTTTATAAGTTCACTTTAAGTTTCATTTGCTGTTATATATTTTGATTTAAGACACGTTTATCTGAACCATTTATGCCTCAATTTGCTTATACGTCACTGACGTTATTGGTTACAGGCCTAATATGCTGGGGTCCTTTTGTATTTTTCGCAGAAAATGAATGATTTCACCCTCTTTTTGTCAACTCTTATTTACATTGAGGCTTGTGTCGGACTACATTGAGGGTTGTGTTGGACTACATTGAGGGTTGTGTTGGACTGTGTTGAGGATTGTATCAGGCTACATTGGAAGTTGTGTCAGACTATGTTGAGGATAGTGTCGGACTACATTGAGGGTTATGTCAGACTACATTGAGGGCTGTGTCGGACTACAATGAAGGTTGTGACGGACTACATTGAGAGTTGTGTCAGATTGCATTGAAGGTTGTGTGGGACTATGATGAGGACTGTATCGGACTACATTGAGAGTTGTGTCAGACTATGTTGAGGATAGTGTCGGACTACATTGAGGGTTATGTCAGACTATATTGAGGGTTATGTCAGAATACATTGAGGGTTGTGTCGGACTACAATGAAGGTTGTGTCGATTGACCATTAGTTTTGGCGGAAGAAGGTTTACGTAAAACTCAGTCTAGTTTACATTTTAGTGAATTATTTTTGTTGATTATGAAAAGAAAAGAACACCAAAATGACTGGATAGAAAGTTCGGAAGAATTATCTAAAACTGCAGGTCCCCCGAACTAGTGCTTAAAGAATTATCTAAAATTGCAGGTACCCTGAACTAATGCTTAAAGAATTATCTAAAACTGCAGGTCCCCTGAACTAGTGCTTAAAGAATTATATAAAACTGCAGGTCCCCTGAACTAATGCTTAAAGAATTATCTAAAACTGCAGGTCCCCTGAACTAATGCTTAAATAATTATCTAAAACTGCAGGTCCCCCGAACTAGTGCTTAAAGAATTATATAAAACTGCAGGTCCCCTGAACTAATGCTTAAAGAATTATCTAAAACTGCAGGTCCCCTGAACTAGTGATTAAAGAATTATCAGTTAATAACTTATAAAACAAATGGATTATTCCAATGCAAATTGATTAACTAGTTTGCTTTAAAATGAGACGATGGGATAAAATTTTCGATTCTCTAATTATCGAACATAAGAGTGAGATTTTGTTTGTTTGTTTGTTTGTTTTGAATTTCGCGCAAAGCTACACGAGGGTTATCTGCGCTAGCCGTCTCTAATTAAGCAGTGTAAGACTAGAGGGAAGGCAGCTAGTCATCACCACCCACCGCCAACTCTTAGGCTACTCTTTTATCAACAAATAGTGGGATTGACCGTCACATTATAACACCCCCACGACTGAAAGGGCGAGCATGTTTGGTGGGACGGGGATTCGAACCCCCCGACACTCAGATTGTAAGTCGAGCGCCCTAAAAGAGTGAGGAGTCAGAAAGTTCGCTATGTAACTTAATATTGATTAATCCTTGAACTCGACGCTGGCTAAAATTGTGAAATTAACAAAAAATTGATTTATTTCATTAAAGGACAACTTCAACAACTATATTTTTGAAGACAACTTGTAAATATTCTAATAAACAAATCTTATCTTTCTTTAGGGATGTTTAGTAGCCCTGATATTTTGCTACTTGAATGGAGAGGTAAGATATTATAATCTGTTAAAACTTTTGGAATAAAACTTACCTTTAACTAGATGAATATATTACAATTTTTGTAAAGATCAGTAAGTTTTAATTACATGAATATATTACGATTTTTGTAAAGATCAGTAAGTTTTAATTACATGAATATATTACGATTTTTGTAAAGATCAGTAAGTTTTAATTACATG